ACACAAAATATCACACATCATTTCTTATTCTAAGCCCCACATGTTCAAGTCAGCAAACCTTAAAAAGACACAAACAGCCCAAAACTTGTTTCCTACTGCATTCAGTAGCAAAACTCCTTATTAGTGAGAATCTCAAATCTGTTCCTGTCTCAAGGGGTTTTCTACTGCACATTGCACCTAGTTGAGAATTCCAGCAAAAACTGGGACTTCTGCTGAGGCAGCATTGCTAGGCCCTGGAACGAACAGCAATCACCACACTGCACTTCTATTTTTGCCACGGGACCTAAGATGATGGAGATGTGGAAAGGTTTACGCATTTCAAGTGACAGCCCTCTTCCCGAGGGGGGCCAGGCCCTCAGGCTCCCCCGCCCCCCGTGCTTGGCTCTTCTGCACTGCACACAGTGATTCCACCAAGAATCAGGCACAGAAAAGGGTGCCTTCCAGCCTTTAAGGAAAAAGCTGCTACTAAATATACAGACTGCAGAAGCAAAGTGCTAAAAATAAACCTGCCCTACAGTTTAACTTCACATGTAGGCAGAATTCATCTCTGCAAAGAGAACCAACACATGGGTGTTCAACACATTGAACATCTTGCTCTTCAAAGCAAGACCCCGCACGGATTTAAACTCTACGTAAACGTTTACGTCCTAGAGACAGGAGGTAGGAGACAGCTCCAAACACTACATCCAAACACAACGTTATGGAACACAAATTGTGGTCCCTTTTCTCCGTTTCAGATGGAGAAGAATTGTCAAGGCCTCATGTTTTGACAGGTGCTGAGCTAAGTGCTTGTTCTGTCTTGGTCCTCGGTTTAATATGCATTCAAAAGGCCTGGCAAGCAAACAATAGCTGATATGAAACACTGTAAGAAGTAGAGACAGTAGCAGAAGTATAAAAAAGGAATTATGTAAAAGCAGGGGTGCGCAACCCCTGGCCTGCAGGGCTCCACCACGGGTCCAAAACTGTGGCAGTGAGAAAGCACCGGCACCACTCCCCCATTGCCAGATTTCTGAACCCTGGGGAGCCCTGGGCCCTGCACACCCAGGGTGCAAGGCTGGGGGCATTTGGTGGAAAGGTGGGGACAGCACTAGGTGGGTGGTCAGGTCAGGGTAGTGCCAGGTCCCAGGGGCCCAATTCCAGAGGGAGAAGTGGCACTGGGCCCCCAGGGACCACTCCCAGCATTCAGGGCAGGAAGGGGGTGGTGCTGGGCCCTAGGACCCAAACCTGCCACTTGGGACTCTGTCCTGCCTATGGCCCAGCCTCAACCCACTCATTTGGCCTGCAGGGCCAATAGGTTGAGCACCGCTGTATAATATTACGTAGGGTTTTACTTTGCAGTCTCAATGAGTTCATTGATTTGACTGCTATAACCCATATATTACTATTTCACGGTGACAATGCATGCCCACCTCCCTTACAAGAAGCCTGGTTACTCAAAGTAATCTTGAACCGGGAAGATTTCCCCTCCTTCCTCATGGCTCACAGGTAGCCTGCTCTGTTGTAACCTATTGTCAGTGAAAGTCTCTCAGGGTTATGGTTGCAGATCCAAAGCACATTAATCCCCATTGTTCAGGGGACCTACAGTTTGCTTATCCCACCCACTGAGTACCTCCCAGAGATGAAAACTCTCTTCCAGAGGACCTCCTAGGCCAGAGGCAGGCAATTATTTCAGCTGCAGGACCATGTAACGAGTTTTGGTGAGCTGTCAAGGTCTGCAAGGGGAGCCCCACCCCTTGGCCACCAACTTGGGACTGGAAGTCCCACCCCTTAACCTTTGCCACCAGACATCCCTCCCCTTGCCCCCAGAAGTACTCCTTTTGGGAAGGGCATTTGCCATCTTAGAACCGGAAAAAAACAAATTATATACTAAAAACCAAACATTGACAAGTACATTTTTTAATTTCATTTTTTTAAAAAAGTTTGTCCTGATTTGTGTGTTTGTGGCGTATACAGAGGTGACTGCATCATAGCTCAAAATGAAGTCTTACTCTTGCATGTTGTGAGGGTGTAGGGGGTGTGGGAGTATATGTATGGGGGAGGATGTGGGAAAGTGAGTGGATATAGATAGGTACGGGGGGTTTATGGGAAGTGTGTTTGTGGGGATGGGTGGGTGTGGGGAGTTTGTGGGGGGCTGTAGGGTGTGTAGAAGGGGAGGAGAGCTGGAAGTAGGGGTGGGGTGTGCATCGGGGTTGTGCATGTGTGGTGGGATGTGTGCACGTAGCAGTGAGTGGGGCTCCCCCAAAAGCATGTGGGTGTCTGTGTTGGGGGGTGCATGTGGGGAGAGGTGGAGGGTGTGGTTGTGGAGTTTTCAGGGGTGTGCATGGGAACCCCCCAACTCCAGTCAGCATTCATCCCCACCCTGCAACAACCCAGAGCCCAAGCACCCTGCGGTGCCTCCTCACCCCTGCCAACAGCGTGCAGCCCCAGCCTCACCTGATGCCTGCTCTGGACTCACTCCCATGGGAATGGATTAGCCACAAGCTGTGCGTACAACCCCAACCTGGCCTGTCCCACACCTGCTCCACATCGTGCCACCCGCCCATCGCACATCTGCTGCCTCCTGGGTGGCTCTGCAGCTGGACTCCCTTTCCAGGTCCACGGTACTGGTGGGGACCTGTGCCACACAGCCCCAACCCGGCCTCCCCACACCTGCTCTGGACTCGCCCACCCAGGTGCAGCAGTGGTTGCAGCCGAGCAGAAACTGTTGCTAAGCAAAGGGAAAAGCAACCCTTCCCCCTCACTGATGCCAGGACCTTCCTGGTGCAGCCACCAGGAGCCCACACTGGACTGCCCTGCGTCTCCACCACTGTCACCGCCACCTCCCAGCTGCCCAGCAGGGAAGCAGTGGCAGCACAGAGCAGACGCAAGGCAGCCCAGCGTAGGTTCTGGGTGGCTACAGCAGGAAAGGCCTGGCAGCAGTGAGAAGCAGGAGCCACTTTTCCCCCCACACTGAGCAGCAGTTTCTGCCTGGCTGCCACTGCTGCTGCTGAGCCTGGCTGGATGAGGTCAGGGCTGTGCTGGGCAGGTCTTCATCGGTACTGCGGGGCTGGAGCCAGTGGCAGCAGCAACCAGGAGACACCTACACCTGAGCTGCCTAGAAAGGCAGTAGGGCTGTGCAAAGCTTCGGTCCCTGATTCTATTTGGCAGAGATTCAGCCCAATTCGGTGGCTGAATCTCCGAATCTGAATCGAATCAGGAGGCCCTTTAATCTCTCCAAATCGAATCGGAGCCCTCCAAATTGATTCAGAGAGATCTGATGATGCAGACAGACACAGCTTTAAATGTTTTTTCTACGTACCTCAAAGTACCAGGCAGCTTGTGAATGCTGTGATCCTGGGGCAGATGGAGCATCCCACAGGAGGCAGGGAGGGTCCTCAGCACATTCAGCAGCAGACCCAGAAGTGGACCAGAAGTACTTCTAGTCCACTTCCAGGGCTGCTGGGGAGCGCGCGGGGGGGCCCTGCTGAACCTCCTCCCCCCCGGCTCAGTGACTGGTGCCTCTTGGGTCTAGGGATGATCGCCGCTTGGCAGCAGACCTGGAAGTACTTCCAGTCCACTTCTGGATTCGCCACCAAGCACACAGGGGGCCCGCCGCAGTCCTGTGGGACACTCCATCCGCCCCAGCATCACAGCATTCATGACCCATGCCTAGTACCTCGAGGTATGTAGAAAAAAAATTTAAAGCTGTGTCTATGTCTGAATCGCTGTTTCCCTGTATCAGCATCGAATCTTCAGATTTGGATTCGGCCGAGTTGAATCAGGGACAGTGATCTGAATCAACTAATCAAATCACTATCCCCAATTTGGGCCAAATCTGAATTGAATATGGTCCATTTCACACACCCCTAAAAAAGCAGTCCAGTCATGGAGCTTCCCTAGCCCCACTGCATGCCCAGGGTGCTTCAGGACATGCCACGGCTGGACAATGCCAACCCCTGTCCTAGTTGTAAGGGTTTATGACCATAAATTACAGCTGTTCTTTTCTGACAAAAGTAGGGGACAAGGACTACATCCTGAAACTCCTGCAGACAAATGCCCCCAACAGCATAACTGTTCATCTGATAACACAGGGATGCAATCTGAACATTATGGGGGTGAAGGTGAACATGGACCAGAGAAGAGTCCCTTTTGACTTAACAACTAAAGGAAATCAGGAGGGAACTTGTAAAAAAAAACCCAAAAACACAAACAAGAAAAAACTCCTACCATGCATATGGACAGAAATCTCTTCGTTAAACTTAAATACCCCATTTCTCCTTAAAACTCATGACAGGGCCTAATTCTAATCTCACTCATACAGGTAGGAACTGTAAATAATTAAAAGTGAAGGGAAAAATAGGCCCAGAGTCTTAATAATTCCTTTTTTTTTTTTGGAATGCTATTAAAAATCACCTTCATTCTGAAATAAAGGAAGATTTATTCAGGTTTTTAATGTTCCCCCTGCACAAAATACACCTTCTTCCATTTACTGTTCATAACATTTGTACAGTTACCAAAAGCTACACAGTACGTTATGAGTTTAAGAACTCAGACCCGGCAGCTAATTAAAAGAAAAGCTTATTCACCTTCAAAGCATGTTTGGTACCAAACAACGTACCAGATTAAAGACAAATCTGTATCATAAGAATTTTTTTCTTTTTATTTAGGGCTTGAACCTACGAGATCATGAGCACTCTGTCCCTGGTCTAACAAGCCATACAGGTACGTGCTTACCTTCGAGTACCCGAGCAGTTCCACTGGCTTCAGTGAAACCACCTATTCAGTTCAATGGAGTAACTCGTTTGCTTGTAGCTAAACAGTTGCTTAAGGGCTTTATCGGGTCATGGATAAGCTAATCAGGACACAAAACCTTTATAGCTATAACTTATACAGACTGCTTCGGCATCGTAAACAGTTTGGCTTTTAAACAAAGGTTTTTGAGATAAAACATACCACCCAATACAGTATTAATTTTCACTCGATACACAGAATTGCTTTGCAAATAGGCAGAGGGTACGTACCTGCAAGTGCTACTTTTCTGCATCACGTCAGCTCGATGATATCCAGAGAGTTTACAAAAACCGTCATTACTATAAACTACAGGCCAATCCACAATCTGGGCATTTCCCAGTAAAAAACTTGATTCTAAAAAAAAGAAAGAGAGGGAGAGAGGTTTGAAATTAACTGCCATACAAGATTAACATCCTTGTACTCTGAAGCAACTGCAAAGTTACACATGATAATCAGACATGAATGTAATAGATAAATGAACAAATTAAAACATGAGGAAATTGGGATGTTGAATTCCAAAATGAAAGGCTTCTTCTAGTTTTGTTTCTAGTAGGATTCATTGTTTATTTGACCCAGAAGTATTGAAATGGGAAGCAACCCTTATACAAGTCATGGAGTAAATGCCAAGATAAGAATCACTAATTATTAACATCTGGGTAGGACATCTCTTATGACTCATTTCTTCATTTACATAAAAAAAAAAAAAAAAAA